GTGGCTACCTCAGCCCTCCGGCTGGTTGGTTTGTTGTTATTTCTCTATCTTTTGTACAGGTTTCTGTTTTTATTTAATAAAATCCTACAGTGGGGGCTTCCCCTGCTGTATTTCCCGTTAAAAAAAAAGAAACCACCTATTTCCCCTAGGTTGGCCGTTTTTTGTTAGAGGCAACTAAGTAAATTATTGGATTCGCAACCATTGGTGAAGCCTGTGGATATGTTACCTAGCTATACTACAACATGTAGTAATCATGCTGAAATATAAAACTGGAAACCTTTATAAATGAATCTAAAAAGGTGTCCCCTTTACATCACCTGCCATTATTGGCATGTACTGCACTCCTGGGTATTTGTATATATAATATAACCTAGTCTATATGATGTTAGGGAATCACAGTACAATTTTACACCCCTAGTAATGATATTCATTCTATTCTCTTGCAGTGCTAAATTACCGTTTACTCTAATTTGTATTTTCCTTTTTGCCCTGAAATTGTTTTGCAGGGGGTGATGGCCATCCTCGGTATTCAGCTCAACGCAATTGCTGTTGTAAACCTTGTTATGTCGATAGGAATAGCTGTCGAGTTCTGTGTTCATATCACTCATGCCTTTATGGTAGGTGCATTGTACATTTGGAATTATCAGTCCCAATTCTTTGAATTTTGCTGATTTATGTAATCACTGGAAAGTTCTAAACCTAGCATCTTTATAGTACATTTGAAGAATCTAAAAGGTTTGGCATGAAGATGCCACATTTTTCAGGCCATTTCCGCTGAACTTTGTTTCACACAATTGTACTTATCTAGTAATTCAGTTTTGGACTTCAGTGTGGAAGCATTTTAATTATATATACTTTGTGTACAGTCTACATAAGTTCTCATAGCAAGGAACATGATAATTCTAATGCCACACAACCCATTAAAACAGAACTGCATAGCTGTTTTTTTCCTGATATAAACATACTTCTAAACAAATATATTTAGCTTAAGTGTTTGTTAGCTGTTCTTTTCCACAGCACACACCATGACTTAACACTTGGTTTCTCTTATTGTTTTATAGATTGGCACTGGGGACAGAGAAACTCGTGCAAGGCAGGCTCTATCCACGATGGGTGCGTCTGTATTCAGGTTAGAGATTGCATTCTCCTAAGGAAATAAGAAACAGGAGGAAGATTTAAGCTTTAATCACTGCAACACTTTAATTGGTTTTACAACTTATCCTTGGTTGATTGAATTTATGCATTCATGTGCATGGGTAAGTGTTTTTACAACAACTCTTAGATGTTAAAATTTGACTGTTTTGTGCAAGAATCTTACTCTTACAAAAGACTTAAAACTGGCGTCAACTGGATTTGCTTGCTATATCTACACTTCAATATTTATTATCATAGTCTGACACACTTTTTGGCTTTTCAGTGGAATCACCTTGACCAAACTTGTGGGAGTTATTGTCCTACGTTTTGCGAAATCTGAAGTTTTTGTGGTACCGACTTCTGAATCCACATTGAACCTAAAATTCTAGTTACATATTATCTTGAATTGCACATTTATCATGTCAATATGACTACAGGTCTATTACTTCCAAATGTATTTGGCGCTTGTCATCATTGGATTCCTGCATGGGCTTATCTTCCTACCGGTTAGGGTCTAGATAATTTGTCTGGCATCTCTTATTGTTTCTACAGAATCCCGTAAAAGAACTTCACCCATAAATTACTAAATCTTTCAGGTCGTTTTGAGTTTATGTGGGCCTCCTCCAAAATCGGGGTTGCCAATAGAACAAAGTCAACCACCTTCAGCTTCAACCGAGCGGACTTGACAGGATTCTATTTGAGTTGGACGGTTACATACTCAAAAATTGAAATAGGTTAGTTTGGTGCTTCCTCTGTGCGTCCATGTACATGTATATCCTATCCATCTGTCCCAGTGGAGCAGCAGTGAGGTGTACATCATTTGCTGAAGGTGAGAACAGTCTTACAGATCCGTAGAAAAATATTGTACATATCCATGTTAACATAACGAGGTTAGTTGGTGCTACACATGGCGCAGGAAACTAGTTGGCTGCAGTCCGCTGGTTTGTTACGTGTCCGTGTGTCACCCGAGAATCAAGAGTCGAGACTCGAGAGTAGTGCTGCTGTTTCGGTATTGCTGTGGCATTGAGCTTGTGTCTTCGTTCCGTATGCTGGTACCGGTAAGGCTTGTTTTTATAGGCATGCGTGCTCCGTTCTAGCCTAGCATGCACAATGGATCACAGAGAACAAGTGTGATGTTTCTGGCGTTGTCGACACACATGCTGTAGCCTGAGAGACCGCACAGTTAAACAAATCATATTGTAACCATCTCTCTCTCTCTCTCTCTCTCTCTCTCTCGCGACGCTCTTGTTTAGTAGACTGTAGATTTGGTAAGATTTTCTGAACCCAATGGAATGGTGGATTTTCACGTGACTTTCACGGTCCCTTCTGAACCCCATCCGTCGGCACCCACATGCTCTGCTACCGTGACATGCCACTAGCACAGCCCTAAAGACTGCTGATGGTGGTGCAACAACGGCTTCTTGCTGCACCGTCTCATTTGAAGCAAATCTATGGCGATGGCTCGGGTGAATTCAAACCCTTTGTCATCGTGCAATAGGAAACCTCATGAGGACCGTCAATGATAAGAAAATCCTCGAGCACTAGCTGCAATTGTGGTTGTGTGCTCCAGAATCCATAATCCGTAAATCATGCCAAGTAGTTGACCACAATTGATGGTATACGTATCTGCTAAACTGGATACTGAACTGAAAATCATCATTGACTGAAATAAAATCCACTGCTATATGCCCTGTGCGCTTGGCTGATAAGCCATGGCTGAAAGTACCGTTGGCTGATTTGTTGTGAGAGAAAAATATTATTTGTTGGTTGAAAAAGTGTGGCTTATAAGCCACGAGACAGTATTTGTTGACAGTTCCGTGCTATGTATATTTTCTGATTGGGGCGAGTCACTCTGAGCGTACTGCAGCTGGAGTAGGTACGTCAGATACATGCGCCCGCGGCCCGCTCGCTTAAGCCTAGGCTCTGCCACTGGAGCTAGGTTTCAAATCAATCAGTCCATGGCTTCATGCGCAACGGCAAGCAGTCAAAAGGACAGTGACAGTGGAGCAGCGTGACAGCGTATGCGCTATGCCTGCCAAATAATTTAATGACAAATTTGGATTTTGAAATTTCTTTGTAGCATCTTCGAATTTGACAAATCGTCCAACATTGACGAAAACGCGTTAGTTTAAGTAATTTCCCACCAAACCTGGCCTTTTAAATACACATTTAATGCTCCATGTAGCGTTCGAGCAGTTTTTGGATTTTGGATCCAAACTAAACAAGTGAAATCATTTTCTTAGGGCTCATCTAAATCATTTTTCTCATCTAAAATTCTTGTGGGGATCAAAAATAGGAATTACTTACACCGGAAGCTAGGAACTATAAGCGCTTGTGGCGTTGTCTCGTGCTGCCGTCCGCCTAGGTTGGCACCACCCAGGACACCTCGCTTGTGCTTTTGGTCGTGGATGCGGCTGACGCTGAAGGCCGGAGGCCGTTGGCCTCCCGTGCCTAAAAACTCAGTCCGTTTAAAAACAACGACAGCCAGCCCGGCTGATGCCTCGTGTGGAGGCCGGCGTCGGCTCATCGGTGAGGACGTGCTACCTGGTTGATCCTGCCAGTAGTCATATGCTTGTTTCAAAGATTAAGCCATGCGTGTGCAAGTATGAACTAATTTGAACAGTGAAACTACGAATAGCTCATTAAATTAGTTATAGTTTGTTTGATGATACGTGCTACTCGGATAACCGTAGTATCCATCATAATCATTTCTCTTTTTTTCCTATCTTGCTGGAGAATTAAAAAAAAAAACTGGAACTAAAAAAACATGGTGTTGGACTCTACCAAACAGATGGTGTGTATGCAACTAGAACATGTACCAGCGTAGAAATCGGTATGAGAGGGCATCAGATGAGCCCTCGCTAGTCTCTGCTAAGCGGCTCCTAGCGCAGGCCCACCATGTCCTTTCTCCTGTCTCGCGGCATCTCACTGGACCACACGATCCCGTCCGTCCGATCGCACCTAGGTCAGTGGAGCACTGGAGCGGAGCGGCGAGCGGGGGGTCGACTGGGAGGGGCGTCGGGCGTGAGTGACGAGAGACACGACTCGGAGTCGCTCACGCTACCCGCTTACAGGTGGATCCCATGTACACCAACACGCCCACGAGTCACTGCGAAGCGCGCACCACAGAACCACGGCCCACCGGTCAGTCGGACGGCACCAGCGTAGCCGCGCAGAGCGCAACCGGAACCGTCTGTTTGAAACACACACGTGCACGTGCATGCCCGTTCGGGGAGGGGAGGCGACCGTTACAGACGGACAGACGGCCGGCCCTTCTCGAGCTGTCCGGTCCAGCGGCCCACTAGCCGTTGGCCTGCTTTTCCCCCTTTCAAATTCTCCCCCTCCCCTCTCACGCAGCCTCGCCGCATCTAGGCATCCCAGCCCCTAGACAAACCCCAGCCCCCTTCCTCGTACGCCAGCGGAACGCGCTCTTCCGATTTCTCCTCCAAGAACAAACCCGCTCCAAAATCTGTCCAATCCTTCCTCTCTATCTCTCTCATCCTTCGAATCCCAAGGAGGCCGCCAGAGAGGATAGAGAGAGAGTAGGACTAGACTAGAGAGCCGTTGGATAGAGAGAGAGTAGGACTAGAGAGCCGTTGCTCTGGTTGTGTTATTATTAACGCCGCCGCCGCCCCCCGCATTCGTGTATGGTCCGCGTCGCTCCGGGGCTCCTGCGTCCGTAAGGCATCGCCGCCGCGTCTCGGCTGGATCGACAGGCCGGCCGATCCGTCTCCGTCTCCTCCTCCTCCTGCGGGTGCGCTTCACGGATCGCTGCGCTGCGCTCTCTCCACGGGGATCGGTGGGCGTTTCTTGAATCGAATCCTGAGCCGCCGCCGTGTGCTGTGTGCAGGTCGGTGTCGGGGACGATGGCGGCGAGGGCGGCTGATGAGAACAGGAGGCCAGCGGCGGGGAAGCCTGCGCCAGGCGTCCGAGGTGGGTGCGGGCGGCGGCCCGGGCTGATCTCCTCTTGGATTGTTTGCTGCGTCGCGAGCCCATGGTTTCTGATCTCCTGATTTGTGCAGAGATGGGGAGCCGGCGCGCGCTCACGGACATCAAGAACCTCGTCGAGGTTGCCCCGTACCCCTGCGCCGTCGCCAAGAAGCCCATGCTGCAGTAATCTCCTGCCCCAAGATCGTGTCTTTTTCGTGGTTCTTGGGGTCCAAATCTGTTTAACCGTGGCGTTCCTTTCTTCTCTCCAGGAAGAGAAGGGACGAAAAGAAGACAGCGTTGCCAAGCAGCCGGCCCATGACAAGGTTAGGACGCGTGCTAGCTGTTCTTGCACCTCTGACGTTTCTTGCAGGCTTTGATTTGATCTGGGTATTGCTTTGGTTGTTCAGGAAATTTGCTGCCTCCTTGGCGAGCAAAGAGCATCCTGAATGTCAGTCGATCCTAACTGATCTAGAACCCGGAGTTGATCAACATAAGGAATCAATCGGCGATGGCACCGTTGATATCGACGTGGAACTCTACGAGCCGGTCGACGATAGTGACAGTGACATCGACATGGTATTCGCACTTCTGATTTGTGCTCTTGCTCAGAAATGGATGGGTTTTGGGCATCTTTGCCATGGCTCTGGCTTACTGTTATGTTTGGCAATGCAGGGTGAGACAGAGAACAAGGACATGAACCAAGATGAATCGCTCATGGATATTGACAGTGCAGACTCGGGGAACCCGCTTGCAGCAACAGAATATGTTGAAGAGCTTTACAATTTCTACAGAGAAAATGAGGTGGTTTATTGTCAGACGATGCTTATCTTGTTCCTTTTTGGTAGATAACAATCTCAAATCATAAATTCTGAATTTTTGGATGAATATCTCGAATGCGCAGATGCTTTATCTATAATGTGCTTATAAGAATGAGCAAGTTCCTTTGCGAAACTGAATAAATTAGACCGGAAACCTGTAAGGATCATTCTACTTCAGACAAGAATCTTAACTGCAGTATGGTATAATGTGGAAATGCATGCCTAATGTTAATTATCATCTTTTATGCACTTTAAGCAACTAATCTAAAGAAAAAAATGTCAACATGTTTTGAATCGAATGATACTGATATAGCACATTGGTCCACCTCACAGCCAGGAATAGGTAACTATTGTGCTAGTTGTCATGTGCAACACATTGGAAAGTTATGCTGCGCTAAAATCATCACTGCATAATACTTGTACGATTGGAGCCGCTTCATCTGTTATACAACTGTGAAAGCTACAACAGTTCATAATGTCTTTGTACTACTAAAATTGGTTCCTTCAGTATTTTTGAAGCAAATCATGATCACCAGAATGAAACTTATTGCCGACTAATCTTACATTCACAAAGACTTAGCAGGCTTCTACTATCTTGGACTTTTCTATCGCAGCTTCTATTATCTTTTCAGTATTACCAATGTGGTGTTTTATGCAGGCTAAGAGTTGCATAAGACCTGATTACATGTCCAGTCAACAAGATATAAACTCAAAGATGAGAGCAATTCTGATTGACTGGCTGATTGAGGTACAAAAAGCATGGACCTTACAAATTGTTCTGATCTGAAACTGCATGTTTTAATATTTTTGCTGGTTCTTTTGCCAGGTTCACTACAAGTTCGATCTGATGGATGAGACACTCTTTCTTACAGTAAACATAATAGATAGATTCTTGGAAAAGGAAGTGGTTCCAAGGAAGAAGCTACAACTGGTTGGAGTCACAGCTATGCTTCTTGCTTGCAAATATGAGGAGGTCTCAGTTCCAGTTGTTGAGGACCTTGTGCTCATTTCTGACCGTGCCTACACAAAAGGGCAAATTCTAGAAATGGTAATCCACTAAATACAATTTGCACTCACACTGAATTCATGCTTGGTTCTTTTATACTGCATTATCTAAACGTACAATGATCATAGAAGCAAATAAGTAACATTTCCTTACAGCAGACATGGATCTTTTACTGCAAAATTGCACTTATATCCTTTCTACATAAGTGGAACATGACAGAGTTGGTCAGTTTGTAATCTTTTGAATTATTTCTCCCACTTCTGCAAATCCTTGCACACAGTCTTCTTTTTTTAGAAGATGGTGTACACTTGATCATGATGATATCCATATATACTACCTTAGTGAGTAAATAACATTTACTTAATGCAGACAAAGATTATTACTGCAAAAATGCAACTATATCCTTTCTACATCAGTGCACCATGTCAATTGTAATATTTCGGATGATTTCTCCATGTTTTGCATACCCTTGCATTCTGTCTTCTTTTATAGTGATATTTGTTATTTTTGGCTAAGAGTTGAATATCTTCTGATTGAGCAGGAAAAGTTGATTCTGAACACGCTGCAATTCAACATGTCTGTTCCAACACCTTATGTCTTCATGAAGAGGTTTCTGAAAGCTGCAGATGCAGATAAACAGGTGAAATATCACTAAACTCTGATATTTTTTCTGTCTACTTGGATAAATAAAACACCGATAGTGTAGCGATCTTTTGGTTTTACGATTGACACTGCCCACTGTTGTATCTCGCAGCTTGAGCTAGTGTCATTTTTCATGCTGGAGCTCTGCTTGGTAGAATATCAAATGCTGAATTATCGGCCTTCGCATCTGGCTGCTGCTGCGGTTTATACTGCACAATGTGCTATTAATCGTTGCCCTCACTGGTCAAAGGTTTGCGAGTCACATAGCAGATACACTAGCGACCAACTTCTGTAAGTCCATTTCAAGTCACTTCTTCACTGCATTTACAAGCATCTGTATCCTGATTTTCTGTGTACCTTTTGCTGTTCTCTCAGGGAGTGCTCGAGGATGATGGTAGACTTTCACCAGAAGGCTGGAACTGGCAAGCTCACTGGCGTGCACAGGAAGTACAGTACCTACAAGTTCGGGTGCACGGCCAAGACTTTGCCTGCGCAGTTCCTGCTGGAGTCAGGAGGGACACCGCCTCCTTTAGGTGCAATCTAGTTGAATCGCCCTATTCAACTGGGTGGATTTTTCAAGTTTTTAGCATACTCCGTGAACAAGATGCAGAAAACATCGTGTTGATGTTGCCCAAAAGTGCATCGAATTTCCTTGGAGAGTTATGATTAACTGTTTTTTTTATCTATGTCCTGAATGACGAGTGACGGTCGGTCAGGTCGTCAAGTTATACTGCGGCTAATAACGAACTGTCCTGTTCAGGAGTGCTGTTGGAACCTTGTAAAGAAAACAATTTCTGAATCAAATGGATCAATAGCCTTTGTCCAAAATGTTCTCTCATTTCGATGTTCACTCGATGGTGTCGATGTTGTTGGAACCTTGTTCTCTCATTTGACATTTGAATGTGGGCACGTGACTGATGCCGCCCCTCCGCGGTCTTGGTGGAGTGGTGCCATGTGAACTCAAATGTGGTGCAGACGCGCAGCCAGACATCTTGGGTTTGAGATCTGTCTTGCCATGCAATGTTTTTAAAACATAATATACATTTGTCTTGAAAATTTTCTAAAGTTTTCTATATATTTTTCTTATTTTCCTAGAGCTAAACCTCATTTTTTGAAGTTTCTAAAAATGTTTTTCGTGAATCTAAATATTTTATTCGAAATTTTCGTATCACAATCTATCTTTAATTCTTTTTTGGGGAATTTTAATAAGTTTAGAGATGTTTTCTATGATTTAAAATTCATGTCAAGTATTTACCGATTATTTAACTAAAAAAAGACAAACCTGCCTTCATGACTTTAACGAAAGAGATATAACTTATAAGATGTCTGGCTATTGACACTAAATCCGATCAACGCACTAGCAAGAGATAGATCATTTGAGCTACACATGGTCGAGATCCGCAATGGAGGAAGCTCTAAACGGCGAGATCGATTTGGCGCTTGTTCTTTACCCGAAACATCCGCGGACACCTTCTAGGAAAATCAGCTTGTGAGGAGTACAGCGGAGTGCCCTAAGATCACCGAGGCTGCCTAAAACGCTGATAAATGGATCACTCAATCCCCTATGATCTTGTCATATAAATAAAGGATGATAATCTTATCTCAGTAGCAAACACACACATAATTTATAAGTTTTGAGATTGGATGGGTCTCCAAAGGAAAATCTCCATTTGACCTTGGACTACCAAAACCGGTTCGACAATGTTCATATTTCTAGAGAAACTAGCTTGAGGGTGGTTTTTTTTTTTGTAATTTCCATTTTTGCAAATTTGACCAATTTAGTTCAAGATCACCTTTTTTTTTAAGCTCTGATAGATCCATTACTCAGATGACAAATCGTCAGAAACAATTACAGATACATCATCAGGGATGGAACTAGTAATTAGCGCCTCGCCTTCGATATGTACACGTGGTTGTTTAGTCTATCTTTATTCTTTAACTCTTATGATCATATTTTGGCTGTCAACGTTGGTCTTAAAGTTTGCAGAGAAAAGTTAAACTATGGCCGTTAGAAAGAGACCGAGCTTTGACTGTCAAAATGTGGGCTACGGCCCATGAAGCTGTCCTGTCCAGAGTCAGCTCGGCCCGGACGGCCTCCCCGTTCCCCGGCTACGCTACGCCCCCCGCCCGCCAGCGCAAAAGCCAATTGGCGTCACGTCGTCGCCTTTCCGAAAGGGAAGAGGAGACAGTGGGGCGACGCCGTCACGATTCGCGCTCGCGATTTGCCCCCTTCTCCACCTCCCCGTCCGTCTGGCGGGAAATCACGCGCGGCGACGCTGGAATCACCTCGATCCAACAGGGGAATCGGCACGGGGCAGCCTCTCCGACCCATTCCCACAGCCGGTTGGGCGACTCGTCGGCTCAGGTTTCCTTCAAGCTCCTCTGTTTCCTTCAATTCCTTCAAATTCATGCGGTCATGCCCCACGAGAGGTTCTCTTGCCCGTCACGTAGCTGCGCGTTCCTTCTGGTTCTTCTCGGAGGAGATTGAGCGATCTGATGAGGTTTCGTGTTTAATTTTGGTCGGTTGCACCCCCTTTTCGTTGCCTAGGTTTTTGGTGGGGTTGGTCGTGTTGGTGGTCTCAATGTAGCTGTACTGTATTCGGTTCATTATCAACTCTACGGAACTAGTTAGATTGTTTGCGTTTGGATGTTTTGTGCTTCATTCATGGATCGTCGACCAGTCCGTGGGAATGAATTTCCCAGGTTCAGGATTTCACACTTTTGAGCTCAATTGCAGATAATAGACTGGGCGTGTGGATCCAGGACGTTTGATCCCGTTAGTTTGGATTGAAGTGCCAGCTTTCGTCAGTACTGTTGGCTTTGTTGCTGTTAGGTGCCTGTGATGCTGGATGATGCTGAAGGAATTTGAAAGCATACTGGTTCAAAGAAGCGTTGCCTGTCACCATGAGGGTCAATATTGGGCTCCTAGTGCCCTTGATGGCACAATACTCCGCACCCATATGGGCTACTTTAGTTGCTGGGTTCTTCATGCTGCTTGCGCTTTCGCTCTCCATGTACCTGATATTTGAGCATCTCTCAGCATACAACAATCCAGAGGTTTCTAGTTTCTACTTTTGCATCCTATCATCATTTTTTTACATAATTCTGTTTATCAGAACCATGGCAAAGCATAATTTTCACTGTTTTAGGTTCTGTTCTACTTGTACAGGAACAGAAATTTGTACTGGGTGTTATTCTCATGGTTCCTTGCTATGCAATTGAGTCGGTAAGGCTTCTAAAACACTATGTATGTACTACATTACTCCATCAGCATGTCTAATGTTCTTCTTTTGGAACAGTACATTTCTTTGATAAATCCAAATACAAGTGTTTACTGTGGCATCCTCCGTGATGGTTATGAAGCATTTGCAATGTACTGCTTTGGAAGATATATTACTGCATGTTTAGGTAAGTTATATGCCTATAGACATTGCTTTCTTGAGAATACATGTAGTGTTGTGTTCTTACTTAGCTGTCACTGTATTTTGCATATGGAGTTTTATTTCAAAGAGCAGGAATGTAACATAATTTTGAACAATGCAATCTTTTTTGTCCTAAATTACCTTGTATGTACCTCTGCGGGCCTGCCATTGTGCATCCCGGAGTCGCACCAATGTGTTGTAATTCTGGGGGGAGGGGGGGATGCAATCTTATTATCATATCTATTATACCAGTAAGAATATCAGGTAGTCCATCATAAGGATACTGTAGCATTAGCAAAATGGAGGCACTGTTTCCGAGTAAAAAATATTTGTGACAGCTTGGGAGATACTGTACATTGTCCAGTGGCAGGCAGGCTATTTATATCATTTCTCTTTGTGCAATCCAAGGCTAAAAGAAACCCCTAGATTTCAATACCAGATTACAGCAATCTACAATCTAGTTTCCACCAGCATTTAAAATCTACAATCTACAAGGTGCTTTTCACAATCTGCAGCTAAAACAATCAAACCCTTACATTTTGTCTTTCTGATACACTTCATGATATATATATTGTTTGGTGCACTTGCAGCTTTCATATTTTGTTCTCTTCATTTGTGTGTGTTTATTATGTCTGATCAAATGTAGGTGGGGAAGATAAAACAATAGCTTTTTTAAAGAGGGAAGGTGGCTCTGGTTCTGGGCAGCCTCTACTGCATCATGCTTCTGAGAAGGGAATCATACACCATCATTTTCCTGTAAATTTTGTATTGAAGCCCTGGAGATTGGGGACGCGGTTCTACCTGATTATCAAATTTGGAATCTTCCAATATGTATTTCCACAAGCCCTTGCAAATTTTTTTATCTGAGAAGTCAGAAATAAGACTTAGTTATGTTTATGTCCTTTTTGCACCTGCAGGTGATCATAAAGACTCTCACAGCTACCTTATCTCTTCTCCTAGAACCTTTTGGTGTTTATTGTGATGGAGAATTCAATTTACGATGTGGGTAAGACAATCATTTCCTTTCTGGTTCTTTGTCTTCAAATCTGAAGATCACATCTTCCTTACATTGGTTTTTGTTTATGCGCAAGCTATGTTTGTTGAATGCAATTGCCACATCATCCTCATGATACACATCCTGCTTCTTTTCTTTCGAAAAGACGGCGAAGGATTTTTGCTGTGCTGCAAATATTATTAGAAGAAGACAATTGGCCCAATTTATAAGGGAAACTGGGCCCAAAAACCGTACGACTAGGGGTACAAACCCCGAACAACTTGATTCGTAGACCACACAACTAGGGGTACACAAATCATCCCCACACAACTTCGGTCCTCCGACTGTACAACTAGGAGTACACATCTGACACCTCTGGTCCAAAGACCAAAAGCCAACAATCCAATCGCTTGGCACTACAACTCGCCTAGAAGAGCATCACTGAGCATGACTTACAACTATCTTTACACAGATTTACCGGCCAAGCATGCCGGGACAACTATGCTGGTCCAAACGTCAGGGCAACTACCCAAAGCTGCCTGCACAAAACCAAAAGCTAACAAGGAAATAGAGTGTGGTATCAAACCAGATGGAAATCGCCAAGCCACTGAGCTGGAATAGCCTAGGGAACCTTCAAGAAGGTAATGATGCCAGGGAACACTGGATCTGCCCTCCAGGCTATCGACGTCCCCAAGTGGATCTGGCTGACCCTGACATAGCACTAGATGCCAAACCACCAAATGCCACAAGAGCAGAAGAGAGGAGGGGGGGGAGGAAGGAAAGGGAATGGAGGGGAGAAGGCGCAGGGGAGGACTGAGAGGGCGTTGCTGCCGCCCTCCTCACTGCTTGCCAGGCCTTCAGCAGGTAGCTCTGGCAGCGGCCGAGGCAGAGATAGGGTTGATGGAGGGGTGCTGGCTGGGGGATATGGGAGCTGCCCGATGCTGACGATGTGGGGGCAAGTTGTTTCTCCACTGTACTATGTCATGCTTTCATTGGAAAAAGAAATTCACATCTTATTTGCTTGTTTTCCGTTATGAATGAACCAATGTTGAGATGGCTAAATCAGTTATTTCATCTCCTCTTCTACATTTTTTGTTCTAAAAACCCAACGCATATATTTGTGATGCAGGTACCCTTACTTTGCTGCAGTTCTCAACTTTAGTCAATATTGGGCCCTGTACTGTCTAGTAATATGGTATACAGCTACCAAGGACGAATTGGCACCTATAAAGCCTCTGGCTAAGTTTCTTTCTTTCAAATCAATAGTATTTTTGACTTGGTGGCAAGGTGTGGTGATTGCAATAATGTATGCTTTGGGCCTTCTTAGAAGTCCTTTAGCCCAGAGCTTGGAGTTAAAATCAAGCATTCAAGATTTCATTATTTGCATAGAGGTATTCATCCTTCCAGGGTGTACTTTTTATTATCTATCTTCGCCATTGCTTAAAAGAATCCATTTCTTTCATGTTTATGTGGCTATTTGTAGATATCTGATAGCACCATGTCTTCCTCCAGGACAGATGGGCATTGCTTCAGTTGTTCACCTCTATGTGTTCCCAGCCAAGCCCTATGCACTCTTAACTAATCAGTCACCTGGAAACATTTCTGTACTTGGGGACTGCGTATCCTCTGACCCTGTGGACCCTTTTGAAATTAAGGAAAGCAACCGGCCTACCAAAATGAAGCTTCCACAGTTCGAACCAGATGAGAGAAGCGTGACAAACATAAAAGAAAGTGTTCGGGACTTTGTTGTTGGCAGTGGAGAATATGTGAGTGCTGGGACCAAATCTTCTTTCTGAGCATTACCGACAAATTTCCTCTCTTTATATGTTATTATAGAAGGGCGGGCCTGGTGCAAGCGGTAGAGTCTTACCGCCTGTGACCGGAAGGTCCCGGGTTCGAGTCGCGGTCTCCTCACATTGCACAGGCGAGGGTAAGGCTTGCCACTAACACCCTTCCCCAGACCCCGCACAGAGCGGAAGCTCTCTGCACTGGGTACGCCCTTATATGTTATTATAGGTTGGGTTTTGAATTATCTGAACCAGCAGAATAAATCTTACCTTGACAGTCAAATATGGTCTCTTCTATGATTACTTTATATGGGTTGTGTGGGTTTGCAGAATATGTTTGTGAGCATAATTTCCATGCGTTGTCTTGTTTTCTTCCCTCCTTTAACTTAGGTGATCAAGGATTTCAAGTTCACTGTTAACCAAGCAGTGCGGCCAGTGGAGAAGCGCATTGATAAATTGATGAAAAAGAATGATAAGCGCAAGAAAAGCCAGGATGACAACTGGGTGAGTGCAGCAACACCAGAGAGACCTGTTCGTGGGATTGATGATCCATTATTAAGCGGAAGCACAAGTGACAGTGGTGTCACAAAGGGCAAAAAGCATCGCAGAGTTGTGAGCTCAGTTGCTGCTGCGGACAGCTGGGGAGGTGGTGATCAAGCTTCTGATGGATATGAGATCAGGGGTCGCCGCTGGGCTGTAAAAAGCTAACGATTCTACTTTGCGAGAAGGTAAATTCAAACCATATTTTACGTGGGAAAAAAAAGACTGGTAGGTTTGCGTTTGCTGGTAAATACTGGCCATTTTGGAGCCTTTGCAAGTTCCGACTGTCTTTGTATAGGTATATATAAAAAAAAGGTAGCTGATAATGATAGGTAACCTCTGTGCATAGATTGTTAATTTTTCTTTTCTTTTTCTTGGTCTGAGTCGTACTGATATTTGGTGTTGCAAAAATGTAGAAGTACAGTAGTTTTTTTTTTTCTTCATTCTTTGGAAATGGAAACGCTTGTTCTTGCGTAATTGTGTCCATTTGGACATATTTGTGTAGTGTTACACAGTTACATGGACTATTCATCTGAACAACAGTACACTGCATAACTGAGAAGTGCCAGAATCGTATACAATCGAGTACCAGAACAGTAACGAAGGACGCTGATATTATATTTTTATTTCTCCTCGAGGAATAAAGTGTTAATACGGAGTATCTGTATTGCATCCTCCATGTGTAGAATTGAATTTCTGTTAAAAAATTGAAACTTTAGCCAATAATGGGCCTGTCTGACTGCTGCGCATGGGCCGATAAGGCCTAAATCAACATTTGTATACACCCTTTATTTTGACGTTATAAAAGGGGCGAGGGTTACAATTCCACACAAGTTCAGTTCATCTCGTAGTCTTTAGTCGTTGCAGGCGTATCACAGAGTAGGGTGTGACGGATGATTTTTTTTTTTTCAAAATGTGTTGTATGCAGCTAGATATTTTTTGAAGAAAAATTGCAGCTAGATTTTGAACTCATGCAGAGGAAATTATTGCATCAACCAACCAGGCAACCACAAACCACTCACTCGCTCAGTGAGTCAGTGGATAGAACTCGTATCGCACGGTCGACAGAACCTCAAATGGACCAGCCATCCAAAGCCACAGCACAGACCTGAGACCTGCTCCAACTAAGACTATCTCCAACAGTCCAAACTTAAACACAAGACCCATTCTAAGGATTGGGTCATACATAGTCACTTTCTTTCTCCAACAGCGAACCTAAAATATCTATTGCCCTCCTCTCTCTCTCTCTCTCTCTCTCCGTCTCAACTCTTCCAGTGTTCCCTTCCCCTCCCTCTCTCTCTCGCCCTCGCTCGTTGTCCCGATGGTCATGGCTCTCGCCCACTTGCCCATGGCGCGCAGCGTGGCGGCCCCCCCCCACGCCAAGCCCTTTGCAAAGACACCCCCCTCTGCTTCGTCCGGCCTTGTGCAGGCGCTTCACGGAGACACACAGCGCGGGCAGACCGTCCCGCTGGCCGTCCTCCGGCGAGGCGCCGGGCCTCGCTGCTGGGCGCAACCACTACGCCTCCACCCCCCCTACGCCACATGCGCATCTCTCTCTCCGGCCCCACCGCGCACCTCGTCAACCTCCTCGGCTTCTCCAACCCCGCCCCATGCCACATACCGCTGTTGCCGTCAGTACATGCCCAACGGCACTCTTACGACTGCTCCACTCCAACCCGCTGGCCAGCCAGTGGTGGCCGAGTCACCGCTCATTCGCCAAGCAACGGCCAAGGCGTTACACGCTCCCACGACGCCGACCGCCATCATCCATCATGACGTCAAGTCCGCCAACGTCCCGCTCGACACCAACCTCGACGCGCACCTCGGCGACTTCGACCTCGCCCTCCATGTGCCCAAGGCCAATGCCACGCTGGCCGCTCCTCGTCACGGCCCCGCCGCGTACCTGCCTCGCTGCCCCGGCGGCTCCCTGTCGTGGTCCCGCCTCGCCGTGCCGACGGCTCCCTGCCACGAACCTGCCTCGCCGCGCCACCCGCTCCTCGCCACCTCCTACGGGCCCAGCATGTCGACGACGCAAGGATTTGGGTCGAGGAGAGAGACGACGAAAAGAGGACGCATATCTGGTTCCCTCTCTCCTTCTACCCAAAATAGGTGCTCCCTTTGCCTATTCTGTTGGATGGTGTTTTTTTATTGTGCAGGACGTAAAATAGGTTTAGGTAGCGGTATGCCTGGCTTGTTGGAGACGGTCTAAGGTGATGACGTGATGAGAGGGACCCCTCCGTGCTCCAATCGGCTGCTCGCCACATTCTCTCTCCCTGGCACACGGGCCCACACTGGCGTGGTCTACCACTCCATGCCTCCTGCGCGGCTGCGCCTGCGCGTGCGGCCCCTGGCCCTCCTGTCCATGGGCGCACGATCTGGCGATCTGCGCTGCTTGATCGCTGTCTCAGGGTCAGCTAAACCTATCGTTGACCGAGGTAGGGACGAACGAGCGAGCCACTACTGATTCCATTCCGGGGAATCTGAAGTTGTTTAATCCCTGTAGTATTCGGATCGGACAGGGACAGCAAAGCATTCAGTTTTGCAGGCCAACTTACAGCTCTTAATTAATGAACCTTTTTTTTTGTGCTGGGACTGGGAGGTTTGACCTCACAGGGCTTTGTTAAAGACGCTCTACCCAATAGCATGTTGCTATTTTGGACATTGTTTGTGTGAAATCATGTGTGCCATTCGTGGGTCGTGTTTTTTTCACTTGTGTTCGGTCATGCCTCAGCGTCAGCTGTAACCGTGCCTAGGTGCGTTGTACCCTTCTGGTGTGTATTCCGTGGTTTGCCACACTTATATCAATAAGAAATCAGATCGGCAATCGCCTACTGCAGTTCCTTCAAAAAAATTTATGTTTTGCATGTACACACATAAATAAAAAGTAAGATGCTTTGCCCCTTGGTTGGGCAGTTGGCACCGAGATCGGTTCCTCTACGAACGAAGTTACAGTGACTTTGTCACTAGTAACTAACAGGTGGCGCGATGCTCATCGGATCCAGACGAAATCAATGTGGCCTGAAATGTAGAGAAGACTCAATTCTTGGCGCCACTTTTTGGTTTTCTTTTCGTTTGATCAATCAAAAAAAGGCAGTAGAGACCTGGACTATAATCGTCCAGGACCAGGCCGGGGCTCCAGCCTCCAGGTACCGCCATCACCACCCACCAAGAGCCGATTTCGTCTGCACATGCCATCTGTTTTCCACGCCACGCATGGTGCGTGACTACGTACGTGACGCGATCCTCCCCAACACAATCATAAAAAGGCCACCCGGCGCCATCCCAAGCAAAGTGACGGGCAGGCCGTTGCACTGTACAGTCTCCCAGTCCCCATGTGCTCCTAATCTCCGATGTAAACTAACCCTGTCGCCGTCTGTTCGTTTCGCTGAAAAACCAGTCTAGAAAGCACTATTCGTTAATTTATCGTAAGAGAAAAAATACTATATCATGATCATAAGCCAGCCAAGCAAATAGGCCCCGCGTCTGAAATCCTCATCTCGTCGTGCCATGTGCATGTGCTCCCAAGTCAGCCGCTCCTCGATCCCCTCGTCAAACTATCAAAGCGACCGATGGGGCATGCATTTACCATTAGGATTTAGGAACGTAGCAGAGCTCGCAATTAAGCAGCCGAGACAGTACGCCGGACACCTGTGCCGCGCTTGCCGGTGCAAACGTCAGTGCTGAGGAAATTACTCTTGCTCCTCCCGTCCCTCCGTACTGAATTATTGGAGCCGGCGCGGCGCTTTAGGCCCTCCATGGACTAAAAGTTTTAGTGCATGTCAGTCCATGAACTAAAAGTAGATTAAAGTGGTGTTTGATTTTTTGAACTAAAATGAATTAAAGTGGAGAAAGAGAGGGTAATAAATGAGGGAAGAAAATTGTATGAGCAACGGGCGCACGGTGCGGCTGCTGCTCCCCTCGGCCGGATGGACGCCACGTATACGCGCCTTGCATCGGACGGCAGCCGGAAACTAGACGGCTTGCGTGCGTTCCCGTCGGCTCCGCATCGCGGCTTGCGTGTCCTTCCCATCGGCTCCGCATCGCCCAACGGCTCAGCCCAAAATCGATCCTTATCGTGACCCTTTCCTCTCGTCTGACTCTGCCGTCGCCGGAGTACCTGCGGTGTCCGGGAAGACCACGGCGAGGAGGTTGCGAGGATGGCACGGCGAGGCGCGTCTGCTGCGGCACCTGGAGCAGTGCTCGCCCGCGCAGATAGAAAGGGAGAGGATAGGGAGATGGGAGTGGCGGAGACGGATTGGGAGGAGCTTCAGAGGCGGCGGCGGCAGATTGGGACGAGATCCAGAGCTCTGCGGCATCGTCCCGGTCCCAGCGACCTGAGCCTATGCCTGGGCGTCCTCGCCGTCCACCACGACTGGCTCCACCAAGGTGATTCCTGTACTGACACTTGATTGCTCATTGCTGAATGAACTGAACCAACTGAACTTAACTGTCTATCATGTTCAGGACAATGAAGGGCAAGCAGACTCAACTGTAATGCTATTTGCTCGTCAAGCATCATGTCGATCTTCAGATGAAGGATGAGAATGGGTCAGAGTGTCATCTGCCAAGGAACATGCTACCTTACACTAGCTGTATCATGCACTTGGGCATGTGCTTTTTTTAATTGCAAAATCAGTTGTACGAGTAGCACTGGCTGGTAGTATATATTCATTTTCCAGAGCATATAGGTGCTCCCTGTTTTCTATGTCAGGGTTGCAAGTTTAGAACTTAGTTTCATATAACAGAAACATGGTCCAAGTTTCTGTGTTTCGACGTTTGTTGTCGAAATTAGACAGGTTGTAAAATGCGATTTTTGTCTGAAATATATTTGGATGTTCTGAAATCAGCAGTGGAATGCATGTCTGAATAATCTAATAATTGTTTCTGTGGAATGCATTATTCTGAATAAGCACTGTCTGTAAGGTTCCTATTCAGAGCAAAGCCAACAGACTGTACATGTACATATTCCATTTCATAAGGTCACTGACAACGAATGAGCACAGTTACATAGATTCATGATTTTACACTCCATCAAAATGTAACTTCCTAACAGTGGTTTGCACTATAGCATCTTGATCAACTCCCATTAAGAGACTTGTGTATCCTCCTGGAATGTATGGAGCAGCCATTGCAGAAGGTTCTGGAATTAAATTGAAGTGTGCCATTGTAGAATTAGCATATCCACTTTGCAGGAAAGGAGCATCCATGGATGAAGATGGCCCAGCATTAAAATTCTGTCATATATTGCATAAGAAAGTGTTCAGAAAATCATGCTTGTAATTATAAGGGAATAAATTGTGAAAATAGGTAATATCTTACTGTTATTTGGTTTGGAACAGAACTTTCATCTATTGTTTCTACAACATTATTTTTCAGATCGTCACCTACAATAAAACATAGTTCAATATTCTAAAAAACTTGTAGACATAAATTGTATTCTTTGGGCAGGTCAGTACCTTTCTTCTAAGAACCTTTCTTCTTCCCTGACTTCTTTTCAACAAAATTTTTAAAACGTGTATTCTTTGGACCTTTTATTACTTGAGGAATTTTAAATGATATTCTACCATTTACTGTATCTTGAACACATTCATTTGGAACTGGAGGAACCTCGTCGGATTTTTCATGTGTCTCACTTAGATAAGTATCCGCTTCCAAGTTGAAGTCATGTAGAGCTTTCTGCAATTTATCAAGAAGTTTTTGTGATGGCGAACACTTCAATGCAAGAGATGTGGCCTGGCGAGATATAAGTGTTGCCTGTGATTTCAAATCTCCCTTCTCAGTTCCTTGCTTTTCAATATAAAATCCATTTTTCACATATTTTGTCCATCTAGGTAGTATATATTGCGATGGCAAATTGTATACTCTATTCAAATTGAAGACTCTGAGAGCATGCTTACATAATAAACCTGTAAGATATAGTTTTCTATTTAATTAATAAACCTATATTACACCTTAAATGTATAAATTGAAATGTAGTAGTATATATACCTATGGATTCAAACATCCGGCAAGAGCATGTAATGGTGGAATCTTCAGTGTTCAATACTACTGTTGCTCCATGGTCAGACTGCATATACTTAACAAAGAATGTCAAGTGTGTCCCCGCAGTTTTCAACAATTCACAAGTCAATGTAAATTGCCTTTTAAATTCTTCCTCAAACTCTGAATACATTCTCCTTGTATATGATTCAGCTGCAGTATTCAACATAGGTAGGTTTGGAATGTATGTAACTGGATTCTTTCGGCGGGACTGAAAATCGGCATCCAACTCATTTGCACGGAGACTAGCTGCAACCTTGTCACATTCTACAAGGAGTTCCGAAAGACCAAGTTTTCTACGAAATCTTTTCTTGAAGACATTGTTCATACCTTCGCTCCTTTGGGTCGAGTTCATGTCTGCTGTAAAAGAGTCGCGATATACTGCAGCCCACTTTGTCCTCAAAGCATATAGATTTGCCATCCATGAGTTTTCCTCCAGGTTGTATTTGGCCAACAATTCATGCCATTTCTCTATGAAGTATGTCTCAGATCTGTCTTCGTACACACATTTTTTGAAATCAGATAGAAACTTGTTATCTGACTCATTCTTATTCGACTCATGAATTACGTGACTCAGATGTTTAGCAGCATTTAAGCAAATATGCCACAAACAAAGACGGTGGCTTGTATTTGGAAATACATAAGCAATTGCTCCTGCCATAGCCGCATCTTGATCAATGAAAATTGTGCTTGGGTGCTTTCCTGACATAGCTGTTAGGAAGGTTTTAAAAAGCCAAACAAATGATTCTATAGATTCATTAAATATAAGTGTATATCCAAAAATTATTGTCTGCTTGTGATGGTTGGTGTCAAGAATCGGAGCAAAAGGCATTTCGAACTTATTAGTTTGAAATGTGGTGTCAAATGACACAGCATCACCAAAGCATTTGTAATCCATGATGGATTGACCATCTGCCCCAAAAAAATTTGCTATACGGCCATCATTCTTGTCTACCTGAATAGCATAAAAAATGTAGGATCTTGTAACTGCTTATTTATCAGGTATTCAGATAAAGTTTGTGCATCATTGGCTTCTAAATACTGTCGTCGCTCGCGACCAATCTCATTATAGCAATCCATCTTAGCAAAAGGTAAGTTCTCTTCCCCACCATAAAACTCTTTCATGAACTCATAAACTTGGGAAGGCTTCATTCTAGCTTCCCGTATCTGCTCAATTAGTTTTCTGTCTGCTTCAATAACTTGTCGTTGGGACCTCAGCTTGTGTGACTTATTTGGACTAGCAAGATAATGATTGTGCTCTTGTATGACCTTTTGCACTGTCCAAATCCCCTCCTTGTTGATACTAAACTGAACACGAGCATCATAACCCGTCCTTGTAATGTCCTTTTGTGATGACTCATTTTCTCGTTGTCCTTGGCTACTGCAAACCATATATTTCTGAGATAAACTACCATCTTTGCGGTGCTTTGTCCTGCTCTTTCTAACACTGAATCCAATCTTGCCAGCATAGGTGTTGTACATCTCATAAGCTTTTTCCTCGGATTGAAAAGTCATTCCAACTTCAGGAATAATCAAATTTTGCCTAGCTTTATTAACCACCTCCTGCAAATCAATTGGTAATTGAAGGTGTACTATAATAAAAACAAAATAGCATATGTTCTTACAAATTTGTTACTTATATGATTTTTTATCTCATCAAGTGCTTCATTCTCCACGGGTGTAGAAGTGTGTGAAATGGTGCCGATGGTCTGTACACCGGCCATAACCGTGGTGTTCTGTGAAATATAGAAGAAAATGCATTTGTTTCATCAAAAGAAAAAGAAAATAAAAGAAAAGCCCCATCAACTCGAACAGATAACCAAATACAGAAGTTACCTCTTCGTCTTCTTGACGACCAACAGAAGCGAGCATCAATTTCTAATGCACATGAATCCTCCATGACGTAAGAAGATCCCATCGGGTCAATAAATGCGATCCTCCTTGGCCCCCAAACGTCATCCATGGAGTCTCTTTGGTTCATCCACGGAGACGGCGGCGGCGGCGGCAACTCGTCTAGGGCAAGGCACTGATCAGTGGCGGCGGCATCCGTATTCAACGTGACTTCGGGTCGCGTCGTTCAATATTCCTCAACACGACTGAAACGAGCTGATTTGGTGCCGTTGTCAGCCGATGCGGAGCCGACGGGAACGCATGCAAGCCGCCTAGTTTCCGGCTGCCGTCCGATGCAAGGCGCGTATACGTGGCGTCCATCCGGCCGAGGGGAGCAGCAGCCGCACCGTGCATGCCCGTCGCTCATACAATTTTCATCCTAAATGAGAGGCATGGGTGTCCCCAACACCTTTTAGTCTATTTTAGTCCAGATTTATGGACTAAATGACTAAATGGTTTTAGTCTACTTTTAATCCAAATGTTTAGCTGTTTAATCCAACTAAAATGTAAATTTTAATCAAAATATTTTAGTCCATAGAAACCAAACAGACCTTACTCGGATGCCATCAGTACGTTCTTGACGAATCTGAAAAGTCTGAGTGTGGACAAATTTTGAGGCTTGCAGACTTCCGTTTAAGCTTATCTTGGCTCACCTGACACATTCAATTATTATTTTTTTTTTTTTGCGACACGACACATTCAATTATGTGCCGATCTCTTGAACCTTTACCTACTCCCGTAGTCGAGTCGAGTGTCACGGGCTGAATATTCTCAGCGCAGAATGCTCCAAATCATGTGATGTGATGTATGATGCCTGGTTTGTGCTACTCCTACAGTGGGCTGAGCCTCATTCCTACTAGTGCTGATCGCACCTGTTCAAACTTGTCATCCGGAAAAAACACACGCCATTTTCTTGAAAGCGCGTGTTTAGTTTGAAGTCAAAATCTCAAAAAGGCTTATAAAGATCTCATCCACATCAAATATTTGCGGTCAAATGCATTTTAGGCGTTAAATGTAGATTTAAAAAAAACTAATTACATACGTAGTTTGGTGGAAAATTGCGGAGACGAACGCGTTTTGAAAAATATCTTTTCTTGAAAGCTTAAAAACGGGACTCCCCAAATTCCAACTTCCTACAACTAAACGCAGCCAAAGTTTGGGGACTCGGCGTGGATGAGGCGACGGATGATCCAGTCCCGACTCCACACCGTCTCTGTCAGCAAGTGCCCGCGAGGTCCTCGACTCGCATTGAAGGTGGCAGAGACCGAGACGTGACGTACACCCGCTGCCCCCTACTACTCGTGTTCCATCCGGCCAGACGTGGCATCCATCCCATCCCATACGCGACACCGCTGTCCGCTGTCCTGCTCCGTCCGGCAACAGGGTGCATGACAACTCTCTCCGTTCGTTTGGACTTTAGGTGATAAGTTATGATTAAAAATACTATTAGTTAATTTAGTGTGAGAGAAAAATTATTTATTATTAACAAAAAATATAATTTATAAATCAAACAAGCCAGACGAACAGGACGTTGATTCCGATGCTCTCGACCCTTCTTATCTGTTCCAACAACTAAAGTGGTACTAATGGGTACTAGTTTGCTTCCAGTCGATCGGAGCCGCTTCAATTATTATGGGGCTGAACCTGACTCTTTGATCCGATCACCCAGTTGCTTTCCTAATACTACTCTCTCCAATACATAGACTGGTACATAGTCATTTTTATTTTTCCAAAAAAGATATACTCCATCCGTTTTAAATTATAAGATGTTTTAGCTTTTCTAGATACGTTATATTTGCTATGCACGTAAATATACACTATATCTAGATACATAGTAAAAACAATATATCTAGAAAAGTCAAAACGTCTTATAATTTGGAACAGATTTAGTATATAGATGGTCACAAATGGAGTTTTTTTTTTTGAAAGGGCACAAATGGAATTGGTAGGCAGCTTTGGTCCACACCGCCGGTGGAGGAGCAAAGCTCCGGGCACGATTGAAAGAAAAAGGCATGCGAAGGGTGGGAGGCTGTCACGTTCTACTAATAAAGATCGATGCAGGGTTGGTTTAGCTAGCCTAAAGCATCCGATCCCGTCTCTTTGTTTAGTTACGCTGCCTTTTCTCGCCTTGTTTACTACTTGTAGCATGGCGTGTCTCTGTGTTGGGCCCCCTGTTTATCTTCAAGTTGAAGGGTTGGATGGATCGGTCAGGTGACGATGCTTGCTGCTGCTAGGTGTCAGCGCGATGGAGCTCGGCAGATTGGTCGAGGACATGGAGTTCACTGGTGCACTGCCAAAGTGCCAATTGCCATGCGTGGGTTCGTTTCTGGAGAGATGTGCAGGAGGCAGTTATCGCCGAAGATTATCTGAAAGCAGCCGGCCAAGGTGTCGGTCAGATGCGGCCTGCGAGGGATCGCCGTGGGCGTCTTTAAAAAATGGCGGGGATGGGAGCAGGGAGCAGCTTCAGTGCTTGTGCATCGGTGCTGCAATGCTGCAGCCTGGCAGCGTGAGTAGTGCCTCTGCGTGCCAACTTTGTCCCAGTTGCACGTAACCGCCGGATGCCTGACTGACACGGTCCTGGTGGTCGGCCGATTTGGCTGCTGAGCAAAGATACGATCTCGGCTGCTGTGCTGCCGTGTTCTGCCCGCAGTGGGCAGGTGGAGGCAGATTGATTCTTCGTCCATTTCTTTCTGTTGGGATTGGGAAACCAGGTGTGCTATGGTGCAGTAGTGGCAAAACAATGATGCGTTTTCCACTCATATCAAAAGCAAAAAAATAATAATAATGTGTTTTGTTTATTTTTCTAGATAGAGGAAGGGAAAACATTGCTAATTTTCTAGTAGCGGAGAGGAGCCGGTGGCATTTCATCATATTTCCCTTTCTTTTGGTCGTGCACTTGGCATTTCATCATTGCTCTTTTTGGGCATAACTTTGGCTGTCACCTTGTCGTCTTGGTTGTGGAAGAACATATGCTATTTGTGCTTAATTGGGTGGTGTAGAATTAAGCTAAAAATCCTCTTAGGTACAATGTCTCCTACGTTGTTTAGTCGTAGATACTGAAAACCATGGACGGGGACAGCATTATGTATTATATAGAACATCACCTTTTCTCCGTATGAATATTCGGCCGCCATTTGCTAAAAGAAAACAGTGTTTGTGACCAACAATTATTGTTCAAATTTTCTAATACCTCCATCCAATTCTAAGTTTGGTCTAAGTCAAACTATCTTTTCTTTAACTAAGTTTAAATAAAGCAATATCAATATTTATGACTTTAAATAAATATATTATGAAAACATATTCCATAAAAAATATAATGATACTTGTTTAGTATGATAAATATTGTTTTTTATATAAATTTGGTCAAAATTAAGATAATTTGACTTAGCACTATGCTACAATTAGTCATAGAAGTATTTATATCTTGCTACATCAATCTAGAAGAATTAAAAGGCAAATCAGAAAAAGGCTCTTTCAAAGTCTGAAGTCATCGACAAGACCTGTTCTCCATTCACTGGTTCACACCGGCACTCAAAATTGTGCAGTTTAATTGTATGCTTTATCCAATAAGCTCAATGCTTGGTCGATATCAACATAATTTTCCAAGTCATATGCACATGGAGTCACCCCAAAAAAGCATGGCCTTTTTCCAATACTTAGAAGAATCGTGCATCATCGTATTAATAAGCAAAGAGAAAATTGGACTGGTTACAAACAGTTCAACAACCAGATTAATGTTTTATTTACAATATGCACGGCTAAGATTTGATCGCACATATCAAATGGATGAAGCTAAAAATGTGGGCACGACAGTAGCAAACAGATTTTTCGGCAAGCCAATTATGAAGACGAAATCACGAAACCCTCGCGATTGAGCTCATATAGTCATGGGTGGGCCGGGACCAGGTTGAATTTGGGTTGATGATTGATGGTGACTTGCCTTCTAATCCACCCTCTCTCAGCACATAATTTTGCTGCCTTTTTGCGTGCACAGTTTGTTAGAGAGGTCTCCGTCGCCGCAGCGTTGGCTTCTTCTTAGCTCCGCTTGTGCGCATCAGACCCTTTTTTTTTTGTAAAATAAAATGTGTAGTACGGCACCCACCAAAGCATCCATCCATGCCCGTCAGGCAGGCCGTCACATGCGCATCTTGTAAGCTAGTTCACTGGTCACGTTCGCTCCAGGCTATTATTCTCAGCAGTGATGGGAACATGCATACACTTGAACAAATTACATAACTGAAAAAATGATTTTTTTAGAGAACAACTGAATAAATAATTCGGCCTATGATATATGCTCATAAACATAACCACAATAACGGACCCAACGCTTAATTATTGTAGCTAGCCCGAGCGAGCACATTGTGCCGATTAGCACCGACGGAGCTTAATTAGTTAGGTCATAGTGGGCCATGCATGGCCCCCTAAGCTAGAGAAATTGGTAATGAATGTTTTAATTTCACCACGTTAAGTCATAATAAAATAATAATATGCCCCCTCTCATTACATTTCATATCACGTTGTCCCCTCCTTATTTCATGCCCAACCTCTGCCAGTGCCGATTAGGTCGTATGTTTTGGAGCTATGCCACTGAACATAACTCAAAATTTACTGCCGGTAATATGTGATTTCATGCCTTTTCTTAAAGAAACCACAAACTTCGGATATCTTCAAGGTTTATGTGTCTAGATTCGAAATTAACAGGGGCAAGTACTAGTTAAGATTTTTTTTTTATCAAAAGGATCTGCTAGAAATGATTGGCCCGAACATATTCGAGTGAAATGGTACATCGGACAGAGAGCTTTGGACCTAGCCATCTTGTAAAACACTATAGGCTGCACTTCTGACCCTCTGGATCGCGGTTGTTACTCTAATGCAAGCTAGCACGAACTGAAGTATGCATGTGTGCGATGTTGCATGCGAATCCCAAACAACTTTTTCCTTTTTTTTTACCCGAGAATGGGATACTCTGCTACTAGTAGGCTAATAGTACTGTCAACCTTTTCGTAGCCAATGATGGCGTTCATCCGTAGAAAATTTCATCTTGCATGTTCCACGAATCCATTCACATGAAACTAGGCTGGAACACCGAGTCCTTTTGAGCACACCTTTTGTGTGACACACGGAAAGGCGAGCGAGTCGGGCACGACGACACCGATCGGTTTGCTGTTGGGATCGGATCGGAACCAAGTACACACACGCACCCAGCACCAACGTGGACTGTTTGTTCCCTTCGTGCGTTTTTTTCCCTCCTGTGAGAGAAGCCTGAACCGACGACCGATGACATGTCCAAAATCCGTGTCATTCACCTCCTGCTTTTTGATGATGAGACGCGACATGATTGACATCCAGCACGTCCTACAGCAGCAGTCACCCACACCCACTTGTAATGTCTGTTTCTACCGTAGATGGTACAAGCTTAACCCCAAACACCTCTTGACATTTGCGTGACAGAATATATTGAAAAAGATCACAGGAACAAAAAAAAAATGCCATGCAATATCTGAAACAATGAAGGCAATTAAGCACTAAAATGGTCTGCACATTAAATGTGCTCGTAGTCAAATCTATGGCTAGTGATTACTAGTATTTTGCAACGGTTAAAATCTGCGTAATTGTATGTTACCCCACCAACGCCCTAAACTTTACCCAGTGTGACTGACTAATAACCAGCCACTACTGGACACCACCCATCGCGCTACTCACCCTCTCACAAGAGACATCGACAGAACAAGCCAGATCGATGATCGATCGACTCAGCACGGAAAAAACAAAAGAAATCAATATAATATTGTTAATAATTGCATGTTAATCCCGCTTTCTAGCCAAAACCAGCAGGCGCCGCAAATTTAAATATTGAAAAACGGTTGCTAGCATGCGAAGATTCCTCTGATTTTTTCTCACTATTTTTTTGTTTTAGTTGCTGGTCCATTTCTTGTTGCACTCCACACCCTGAAACCCCGGCGTTTTCTCAGTTACAGCCCCCGCCTCGCCCGCCGCCTCGTGCTCTTCTCGTTCACTTGCCTTGCCTTGCTTCCCATTTCCGAGTGCCGCCCGCCACCCGGTTCCGCCTCCGCCTCCGCCACCGCCAGCGCTTCGCGTCTCTCCTGCAGGCGCCAGGTGCACGCTCGAGTCATCAGAGGGGCAGAGGGGGGCGCGGAGGAGGCCGGCCGAGAAGCGGAGGCCCCGAGTCCCGGCGCGGGGACCAGAGGCGGCCGCGTACGTGCGCGGCGCGCGCTCGCGTACGTGCGTATGGGGTCGAGGCGGCGGCGGCACCACAACCACGGCCGGTGGGTGGTGCCCGCCGTGGCGCCGGCTGCGGCGGCGTTCGCAGCGGCGGGGTTGCTCCTCGTCGTCGTCGCGTTCCACTGTTTCCTGTCGCCGCCGCTAAGCGACGGCGGCGGCTCCCGTGTCTTCCGGCGCCCGAACCCGCCGTTCCTGGTACGCTCGCTTCCTACGATTCCGGGGACGACGGGGGTCTTCGGTTCATGAATGGTCAAACCCGGGTACCCGGCTCGTCGTCGATTTCGTCATCCTCCTTGCTTAACGCGCGGCTCCTGTTCTTCTCTCTCCCCTCCTTTTGTTTCTCCGAGCAGTTGAACAAGCCAGCGGAGGTGCGCAGAAATGTAATCGGCGCCGTGGATTTCGCTGTCCCCGTGAGTGCAGAATTCCGTGTTCGGTTCGTTCTATTCTTTCCTCGCTCGGGGGAATTGAGCGGTCATTTCACCGAATTTATTTCGTGATGGTTTGCAGAGTGGTGGGAGTAAGCAGGAGCTCTGGGCGGCGGGCAGCTCTTCGGCAACGCCACCAAAGCAATTCAAGGCGGCCACGCGACATATGGTGATTTCTTTTCATCTACGGCTTGTTTAGATAAAAATTCGCCACCAAGCACATCAATTTTTAAGCGGTACGCGTTCCACGCGACATATGGTGATTTCTTTTCATCTACGTTAACGTTCCGCGCTGGGGGAAGAGTTGATTGATGCTGCGCGTGTGTTGGGTGCCAATCTGCCAATAAAAGCTTACATTTTTTTTTCTCTCTAGATGCCGAGGCTGTGACCAAGTCGGACCGTTACTTGATGATCGCGACGAGCGGCGGACTGAATCAGCAGCGAACAGGGGTAAGAACAATACAAACTGCCAAACGAACAGCGCTGGCTGGTATACCATCAGAGCATCTCATCTCAGTTAAAAAAAAAAAAATCAAAAGCTATCTGGTTGTGCTGTGGTTAAATTTAAGCAAGTTATGCTGTGGTTCCAGTACAAACGGAGCTTTTATCTGAAATCTTATTGCCTGTGCCTATGTCTGACAATTATGAGAGTTATTAGCAGCATGTACTGATCTACATGCTACCATTGTAGCTTTTCTTCAGTTGTACTCGTCCAGCGTGTACAAGTTAATCATTTAATCCAACTACTATTTGATGCGATCGGCAATCAGCTAGTCACTCCTATACTCCAACCACTTGTTTTGTTGGCCTCGTACGTCACCGCGCCCGTGCATTTCTGTCTTTTGTTGGTATCCTCCAACTACTTTCTGGCGCCCTCAGCGGCCTGTATATGTGTTTCATTTCCTGCCAGTTGGCACTTGCGTACTACTGTCAGAAATGTGTAAATAATGCTTGCCAACTCGGGTCGTCAATAATCTTATCATGTTTCCAATTCTGTAGCATAACTTATACAAAAGTATAATTACACTGAAGTAGTTTTGATAACTAATCTAAATAGTATGTTTATGTTGATTTTCTTCAATGTTTTGAAAAGTTAGCTATTTTCCAAGCTCGTGAATGTGTGTGAGATCTCATGTCTTCGTTTTTCAATAATTGGAGAATAAATTAAACATAACAAAAAAACTTCTCTTCCAACACCATTTGTTTTGAAATGATGATTTGTCGATTTATCTTTTGACTGAATCTTTCTCCCATAAATAACGGGAAGTTCTGCTACTTATCTGATTTCCAGATCATAGATGCTGTTGTTGCAGCCCGCATACTGAATGCAACACTTGTCATTCCAAAGCTGGATGAAGAATCCTTCTGGAAAGATGCGAGGTCAGACCTCAGAGTCATTACTCTCTCTTGTTTGTTGTAACAAAGAACCTACTCCCAATCTTTAGTTCTGCATTGCAGTGACTTTGCAGAGATATTTGATGTCGATTCATTCATATCCTCACTCTCGAATGATGTAAAGATCGTACGACAAGTACCTGACAGGAATGGGAAACCACTTTCGCCATATAAGATGCGTATTCCTAGAAAGTGTACTCCTAAATGCTATGAGAGCCGAGTGTTGCCTGCTCTTCTAAAGAAGCATGTAAGCATTAAGGTTTTTTGAATTTGACATGTTTCCTTATGTTTGACATTTTTCAGTGAAAAATGCTCAATTCTGACATCAATTCTTGAATTTTGACCCACAGGTTGTTCAGTTAACCAAATTTGACTACCGGTTGTCAAATAAGCTAGAGACTAATCTTCAAAAGCTTAGGTGTAGAGTCAATTATCATGCACTAAGGTTTACAGACCCAATCCTCAAAATGGGTGAAATGCTTGTCCAAAGAATGAGGGAAAAAAGTGGGCGCTTCATTGCTCTTCACCTAAGGTGATATTAGATCACCTTTTCTTTTTCTTGTCCAACACTTCTTGTTTCATATATAGTACACACTAACTCTGATTACCCATCTATTGACAGATTTGAGCCTGACATGCTTGCGTTCTCTGGTTGCTACTATGGGGGTGGAGACATTGAGAGAAGAGAACTTGGTGAGATTCGTAAGAGGTGGAAGACCCTGCATGTAAGAGAGTAGTATTGTATTCCGTTTTAACTAGTAATGCTTCTGAAAGTAAAATCATTTTAGTTTTTTTATGTGACACATTTGAAAATATTGTACAGGCAGGCAACCCTGACAGAGAACGGCGGCACGGAAAGTGCCCTCTAACACCAGAGGAAGTAGGGCTCATGCTCAGGGCATTGGGATTTGGGAAGGACGTGCACCTTTATGTTGCATCAGGAGATGTATATGGAGGCGAGGAGACACTGGCACCTCTGAAAGCACTCTTCCCAAACTTTCACTCAAAGGAAACTCTAGCAAACAAGGAGTTAGCTCCTTTCTTACCATATTCATCTCGCATGGCTGCTCTTGATTTTATTGTATGTGATAGGAGCGATGTTTTTGTGACAAACAACAATGGCAACATGGCCAGAATGTTGGCTGGTCGAAGGTACTCTTTTCTTTCTGTTTTTCCTTTAGTGCTAACCTAAACTCAGTGGCAATTGATTGAACAAAGTGAATTTGCTTTATCTTTCTTACACTCTAAGGCAATGGTGATTGACTGATAAATTGTGGATTTTCAGGAGATATTTTGGGCACAGGAGGACCATAAGGCCCAACACTAAGAAACTTGACTCGTTATTTCTGAATCGAACCAGCATGAGTTGGGACACATTTGCATCTAAAGTTCAGACCTTCCAAAAGGGATTCATGGGGGAGCCCAATGAGATTAAACTAGGAAGAGGCGAATTCCATGAGCATCCTGTAGATTGCATTTGTGCAAGATCGAAGGGGAAAACTGGACAGAGCAGGCCTCACCTAGTTAAAGGTGCTGGAGAAGCTGTGGAGAATCATTCTATTGATGGGGAACTTGACTGGAAGGATTTGGACTACGGAGAGCATACACCCTTGGGCAGGGATTCATCTAATGAAACCGAATCAGATGATATTCGTGTTGGTGGATCAGACATTCCTGAACTGGAGGATATGATGTCAGACTAGACACAGATAGATAGTTCATTATAGGTTTGTTTTTATTTACAAATGGGCTTGGTGATAATTTTGAGGACAGAAGCTGCTACATAATTTATCTTTCTCCTGTTTATTCTTGGAGATTGGAGACACATAGAAACAAGTTTTTGCCAGCTAGACAAAGAAGAAAGGCCTGGAAGAGCTTCCTTCAGAAAAGACAGGTAAATACAAAATTCTTGAAGTAAGCCAATGTTATTTCTGGTCTCAATGCACTTGATTCTTTGAAAAATTTAAGTTTACCTCATCAAAATCTCCATATATTTGGATCATCACATAATTTCAGTCTTATCATACCTTCGACCCAACTGGCATTAAATCATCAGTATTGACACTCTCTGTCTTGTGAATGCAGGAGGAAGCCTATAGTTCAGTATGAGGTAGCAACTGTACAGTGTTTGATCGGTCCTCAAACAATGCTGACTGGAGAAATGGGAGTCATTTTGCCAGTCATGGTTTCTCTTTCATATAGCTTGTACCGTAGATAGAAACAAAAGAATTCCCTCTTATGTTTTACTGTGTAGTGTTATAATGAGATTTTGATGGGTCTACCATCATTCTTGATTTTATTTTTTGATAAATGTCCGTTACCAATTTTGCTGGCCTCCATTTAAATCTGTATATATAAACTGAAACATGAGAATGTAAAGGGAAATTTTGTCCGAGCATACATCATTTTATTTCCCCTTTCGCAAATATAGAATTGTCTTACAGTTTCTCCTTAAAAAAAAACACTGCACCTGTCCCCATATTAGTTTCATTGACATGTTCCATTTGCTTCATCTGTCAACATTTCAGTGCGCTGAATATTCCTTCAGACTGTTCTTTACACACTGATACTCTCCATACTCCGTATCTGTGGTCATTTGTTTTCTTTTCTGTTTTCTGCGAAGCATGTATATAGAATCCTATCCGTCGTGTCCTCATCTGTTTTGTGATATGAAACTAGTGTCCTTTTTGAGCGGATTTGATCAAAACTGCTACGAGCGGAGGGTCGCGGCAGGTCCGACACCGCGAGGACGTGATGGGCTGACGGCACCCTCTCTGCAGGCTGCCTCATCGTCCACCTCTGTTCAACGCTCCTGGGCCACCCGGCCGGTACCCGTACTCCGGTTGCCACTCCGGGCAATCTTGCCTTTAGTCATCATCCTCCACCACCTCCCCTGGCGGGCTTCGAAAATGGCCTCCGGTCCATTTATACAGCCCAATCAGACTTCCCTTTTACTTTGGCCCAGGTGGAGAACTTTTTTGCCCAACAAGAAAGTAGCTTAGGGTGCCTTTTGTTGGATTGATATCTTTGGTTGGGATATAGCCATCTATTGACATGTCTTTGTTTGGTTTACTGATATAAAATATGATATCTATCGGGGTTAAGATACCCCGGGTATCTCAGGACACCGATTAGTTAGCCTCTCGAGCGGCCCGACTGGCTGAGGTCCAGCAGCCGCGGTCCACCCAAGCCACAAAGGCCTCGGGCCAAACGCCAAGACAAAACGGTCCACCACGACCTCTCCCTTCTCCTTCCACTACACACAGCCGCCCTCGACCTCTTCCTTGTCTCGACCCCTGGGGAGGGACATGGAGAGGTTGGACGCGGTCAGAGTATGCTTGCTCTGACAGAGGCAGGCACGCTCCACTCACTCTGTCAGGATTGAAAGAACAGCCATCTCGGGGACAGACGCCATCCCTGCGCACCCCTGCGCAGACAAGACTACACCGCCAGGCAGTGACGACCGGTACGGCACCGCACCGTCCAAATTCAGCACGACAAGACGGGCGTATGGCCCCACTCGCTACGGGATGGGGCACATGACCCCGGCTTTGACTTTCAAGGCCGCCCAGGCCACCGGGGACCTCGACCTCGCAATCCAGGGTCGATGCCATCGACATCATGACCAACAAAGGCAACTGATGACCCGGGAGCGGCTACCTGCTCCTACATTGTCGCCACGACGCCACCAGGAGAACAGGAGACGATGATGAAGGCCACGGCAAGACCACATCACGCAGGACAGTTGGTGAACCATCACCGTGCCAACAGTGCCGTCACGACCGGCACTGTAGCATCACGCCATGCCACGCCGCGACATGGGAGCAAGACCACGACGATGACCATACCAAAACGTACGATGACGCTAGGACAAGACGGGCTTGCTTGGAAGCCAAGTTTACTTGCTTCTCCCTCCCTTGGGCTCACGACCACTCGGTCGGAAGAACCCCTCTCTATATATATAACCTGGCCCCCGAACTCTATATAAGGGTAGTCAGGCTTCCCTTCCAAGGGGACGAACTCTCGAGACTTCATTCGGACATTCGTTCACCTCACTCCTCCTACCTCTTTCCCTTCGGTTACACACCCATTGTAGGAAATTTAGAGCATTTAACCGAGAAACACGAACTCGATCCATCTCTGAGACTAGACATAGGGCTCTAGCCTAAACCAGTATAATTCATTGTGTCTTCGAGTGCTACCATCATCTTCCTAGAGCAGCGCGACAAACGTATAAATTCACTAGTCGGTTGACAAAACACCGACAATATCCCTAATAGGAGAATATTCTCTTAGATGCTGGATATCCTTGCCACTAAAAATTGCCAGGTGAGCTCATCCATGCTTTCTAGTATTTGTTATTACTAAGTAAATTAAGAATCATTAGGTAATATTAATTTTGATAAGTGCTAAGGTGTGATTAGTGTACATTTTGTGTGCCAATTAGGATAGTTGTAGTGCTAATTAATATATTTTATGTTTAGTTAGTGACTATCATGATATTAAATAATAGATAAAATTAGTCAACTATTCTTATCTCATGCACTCTCATCCATCCAACGAAACAAAAAAGTGATTCGTGGAGTCAAAAAAATAATTTATACCTAATATTAAAGATCCAAATTCCTTCCACCATATTTTTTTTGTTCTGCCACCCATATCAGTTGGGTAGGCTTCTATGGCCTGCAGATACGTGTCTTGACCGAGTCTGCTCAAAATACGGTGATGTGTTTTCATTGACGCCCTCTCCTCCTATCCCCAAATCGTGTGGCATCATATATGCTTATAAAACAGAAAAGCTTCACCGAAGGACTCCAATCAAGATCTTAAATTTCCATCATATGGTTTTAAAAATCCGATCTCCGATCCAATTGTCACCGAGTTCTCCTAACCGCCGATCCTAGAGCCTCCTCCCACAGTACTATCATGCGGGATCCAAGCTTTTGAAGTAAATCAAATGAAATTCAATGATCCTAGATTGATTTGGATCAGATCGAAGCCTGTCCACCAGTAAACAAAAGTAGGAACTTAGCAAATGAACCAAATGAAATCCAATCGAATCCCAAACCAATGACCCTAAATTGAACCGGATGAGATCGAACCTTGTCCAGAAAACAAGAGCAATTGGACAATCCTTGTGTATTGTTGGTGTTGGAGCTGGAGCTCCCATTCGCGGCCAACATGGACATCTTTGTCGAGGAGGATGTAGTCGTGCTACAGTTCATCGTTGCCGCCTCAATGGATAATGGATTCGCTCTAGCCAGCGCCCTAACCTCCATGTGTGTTGTTGGGCCCCGCGACTTCACCTTCGTGCCTAGCCTTGCCTCGCTCCATGTGCCCTAACACCGGCAATCACATGCCTCAACCACATCGCTTGCTACAAGTGCCCCATAGCTATGGCCATTTGCTTGTGGCATCCCACGGTGACGATGATGACTCAAAAGGGAGAAGCAGGAATGAGAGAGAGAGAGAGAGAGAGAGCTCATGGAGAGCGATATCAAAAAAAGGAGATCAGGGAAGAGAGAGGCAAAGACTCGGAGAGGGAGAGGAGGAGGCGAGCGAGCACAAAGAGGAGGGGACAACTTGGGCCAGGCGTGGGCATGAGAACGATATTATGGATAAGAACAAGAATGGAATGGCATGAGATGAAGTCAGGCATGGGCTCATGCGTGCGGGTGTCGCAATTGGTGGACCACGCGAGATTTCAGATGTCGCGTCGCCGCGACCTCGAGTGTGTGCGCCTGTGCGTCCTCGGCAGCGCGTGCCTGAGGCCCCATCACTATCGGACACCGCTCCACACCCCACTGATGTATCTCCTTTTTAGCTAGCTTCCACGCCGGCCACGCCGGTCGCTGTAGCGCTAACTTCTGCCTCGGGTGCCAAGGGCGTCTGCCGGCTGCTGGTACCGCCGAGCCCATCTCCTATGCTGCTGCATGCGCCTGAAGGCTCTTCGGCTGGCATTGTGGGCCGCTTACTCGCAGGCGACCCGCAGCTACTCCATGGGGGCCGTGGCATCCAGGCGTCCCCCTATCCGGCGGCCCCCGAGGACCGGTGGGCTCATTGCATCGAGGCCGAGTTCGTAGGCCCAACCTAGACGACGCCGAGGCCTGATCACGTGAGGACGCCACCCAGGCTTACTACACCACCTACGACCTCTCCCCCCGAGCCTAGGCAACATGCGGCGGCATCGGCGGCGGTGCCGGCTCTGGCAACACCGCGGGAGATCTCAAGGTGCCTCCAGTCGTAGCTGTGCTCCGTCATCATGGAGCCTATTCTACTTGAGCCCCCATGGCTACGTGCCCCCAGGAGGCGCTGTGTGGTGGAGAACGCGCTCTCACCGCCGCGTCGGAGCGGCAGGCTCGCAGCCAAGAGCAGACGCAGGGCACCCAACCCAATGGTGCAGGCACAGAATGTGTTGATGGCCAAGTGGGGAGAACGCCCACGGTAGCCGGCTGCATAGACTAGAGCAGACGGCGAGTTCGACAAGTACCTGGCCCTGTTCGACGGGCCCCTCTCAGAGTCCAAGCGGGAAGCGACCAGGATGCTGTTCCCGGCCTGTTTTGCGATCGACGGCATCCAACTTGTCGAGGGGGTCGAGCTTGTGGTCTAGGCAACCTCTGCATCCTTATCGCCAATTGTTGTCCATGTCGAACGAAAACATCTTCGTCTGGAATGTCCGTGGCCTCAATGGTCGTGCGCGGCG